TTTATTTGAACTTGAATTTGGATAATAAGTTTTATCAAGAAAGATTACAAGTAACGCTCTGTAAACTCGTCGTGCTTATAAGTAGATTTAAAGCATTGGTATATTAAATTATTTAGGTTTCTCTATTCTTCTGCTGAAAGTTATTTTTAAAGCTATGATGGAAGGTATACGCTAAAATGTTCATTAGAGACGCTAGGTTTCTTCAACATTGAATTATTTCATAGAACTTCAAAACACATTATCATATCATTAATCAGTTGAATAAGTCGATAGTAATGTTAGAAGATACTATACTTAATAACGTTTAACAATTTTTAAACCGGGAAGTGTGACGTGAATTCTTGTAGCCTTGGTAAACATGGCAGTAATTATAACTTTTGTAATCACGAAAACAATGTTTTCAGTGAATCAAAATTTTAGGTTATTTATTTTAAAAAGGAAATCAACGAAGAATTACAGAATATCGTGATTTTAAGAATTTCTGGCAAAATACAAACTACTGCTGGAAAGCTTCATTAACAAAAACAGCTTTGTTTCGTGCGCTTCAAAGAAAATGTACAACTTATTTCACTCTTACTATCATTGAATACGCAACAGCTAGATTATTTAAACATGTTTCTTTCACTGGCGCCACTGAGGAGAAAGAGGCGTTTGTCCTCCCTCCACAGGTTTACAATAAACATACACGTTTGTTTGTATCATCTACTTTGAAGATTTGACTCACATTTTTACTTAGCCAGATGGACATGTAAATATTACTTTCTACAAAAAAGAATAACCATTTGTTTCTATGTTGAGTCACAGCATTCGAAGCTTTATTAAATTTACATTACTCATCAGCGCACTCTCTACGTACATTATGTGTTGAATAGTTTTATACTTCACTGCTTAACAATTCAATGTGTAGCAGAACAGTAAATTTTAGGAATGAGGTTCAAACAGCTGTACTTTTGTTTCTCAAGGGTCTGTGGGTCAGGGGACCTAAGCCCCTCTTTTCAATCTTGAGTGTTATAATATAACGGTTATTCCCATTATTCATGTGTAAAATGTAGCCCCAGAGTTGGCGGTGTTGACCAGCTGTTTTCCCTCTAGTATATCGCTTCAAAATTAAAGATTGCTAGTGCATATGTCCTTCGAATAGGTTTTCACAAAATTCAACAAACAAACAAAAAGTTCCCCAAGAATAAACAATATAATACTTATATATCTATACATGATCTATAAGTTTGTTGTTTTCCTTACCCTTCCAAGGTGTCCGTAAAATAATGCCGCTGATTGTTTTGGTATTTTCCTAAAATGTAGTACATGTAAACAGAAAGGTGGTTTGTGCATGATTTTCAGTAACATTTCGTCAGTTTTTCCGCCATCTGAAAACAGTATACTTAGCTTTAATTCCATTATGAAACAAATATTAGTTCGTCTATCTGTAACATTAAAGTAAAGGCTGTAATTAAAAGGAGTTGAATAATGTCATACAAGAACTTTGTCTTCTAATTCACGATCTCTTTTTGTGGACATACTTGGAAGGAATATTTAGACACTAGAAAGAAAATATATTCCAAATAGTTTTTCATCTGCAGAGGACATTTTCTAAAATGCACCATAGTGTTTAATATAAAATATTTTTAAACGCAAGCTGAAATCTAGATCTGGAAAAAGCATTCATTTTCATAACGAGTCTCCAGAAGACATAGCACAAGCTGTTTTGTGGCGGAAGGAGACGTGTTTACCTGCAAATCCCTTCGTTTTAATAACCTCTATAAAGACAAGTTAATCACATGATCTAAAACACCAACAAGATGTTTAAACTGCTTGTTTATATATATCTAGTTATTGCTTCACAAACTTCTTCGTGTTGCAATATGAGACAAATGTAACAGACAATTTTAGCAGCGTTTAATTCATAAATATTTGTATAAACATAAGACATTAGAGACCGTTACAAACATTCGAATAGTAAGAAGTATATAACTGTTAAAAATACCGATTTTGTTATTATTATGGCACACGTTGTGCATGACATCTAATAATCAACTTAGAGCAATCAGAATTTAGTATTGTAAGCCAATACGCCTTTTCTGTAGGTTAAAAGTGAATGGTAAGTTAATTGGTTAAGTGCACAGAATCTAAATTAATAGCATTCCGTACAACAGATTTATTCGATGAATGTGGAAAACACAGACAACAAACGGGATTTAAATGTATTTATTACATACTTGTAATTGACAGAAGAGGACCCATAGTTCAATTGGAGGAATGATAGAAAGAAATATACTTGTGGATGCTTTAAACTGAGTAACTGAATTCCATACATATTACGAATTCCTTTTTTTTTATGCGAAGCAGACATCCTTAATCACAACTGTTTGAGTAACCATGGGAGTCTTTTTCACAGAAGTTTGATTCTTATTGTAACAAATATACGTATATCTTTTTATATATGTGATTTTGTTCCATATATTACTATATAAGTTCTTTTGCTTGTTTCTGATTTATATTTTACCTGAGCCTGTGATCTGTTCGTAATTATTCCCCAATAAATTCCATATTTTCAAAGATTGTGGGGTGAAGAGTGACATTATTTATCCACTACAAACTAATGTTGCCAAATTGTTTTAGTATTAACAAAAATTTAAGAAGGGGCTAGACTTCTACTTTGAACAATTTTTTTTTTTACATAGCTTGAATTTGTTCTTGCTAGAAAATTAAATGTCCATATGGGTGGATATAATATTTAAAGTTAAATGGGAAGTTCACACTGGCGTCATTTAAGTATTTCGCGTTAGGGATTGAGGAAAGAGGAGAAAGTGTATTAACTGTTCTAAGTTTTTCACTCACTGCTAAAGCTCTCTCTCTCTCTATATATATATAGGGCAATTTAGTCTAATGAGATATTTCAAACGCCCTTCTTTTTCTTACGAAGCTATGAATAGTGTGTTTCCCGAAAGTTATCAAACTGAAACGTCTCGTTAACTACAAGAAAGTAATAAGTTCCACGAAACTAACTCACCTAATTATGTTATAAATTAGTTACAATGTCAAGACATTCCTGTTAATATTACAGCTAAACCTATAAACAATATATGTGTATATATGTTTTACATCGATACACAAAAGAAATACATTTACTTAACATTTTAAATATTGTATAAAAATCAGAAATACACTGTATCAACAGTTTTATTATTTTTGTTGAAGTAAGATGTTACTGTATTTTACTTCTCTAGATCATGTGATTAAACTATATCTAATTTAGTTCACTTGCAAATATTCAGTGAACTATATTCAGGCAGATATAACACCAGTACAGTAGAGTTTTATCATGATATACTCTACATTTTTAGAGCTAAATGCTAAAAGGTAGGAAACTATAAAGGCAGCATATAACCTGATTTTATTGATCATGGTCGTTACCTTTGCTGGTAAGAACAAAGCTACAGAAATGGCTATCTGTGTTATGTTTACTGTAGGATAAAACCCCGGATTTTAGCGTGATCCACTGGGGGCGGGTCTATAAGTAAAGAGTCTTTTTTTCCTGAAGAACTTTTAAAGCGTTACACTACTTGATCGGTTAAAATATTAGAAAAATGATTGAACTGAAATATTTCGCTCTTGTATGACAACATGCAAGTGTGCAGAGCTCAATGTAATAACAATAATCGCAAGAATAAAATTGAAATAAAGTTATGTAATCACACATTTACTTTACATATCAGAGAAAACAAAATAAATACATTTTTATCTTTTCAAAAATATTGTATATGACAACCTTTCATATCAGCATGTCTTTTTTAATGTTGTTGTTTTTCCAAAATCAAGATACCAGTTTTTTTCGTCTTCATTTTCTACGATTTTGTAATACTAAAATTTGTGACAGAATGAGTTGTATTTATGAATTATAAATTGGACCCTCATATTGCTGTTTTAGAAAAAAAATAACACACTGAGCCTATCATTTCTGCCCTATGGTTAGGGCGTTCGATTCGCAATCTTTGGGTTGCGGGATCGAACCCCATCACCGAGCATCCTCACTCTTTTAGCCGTAGCAGTGTTGTACTGCGACGATTAATCCCATTATTTGTTGATAAAGAGTATTCCAAGAGTTGGCGGTGGTTGGTATTACTTTAAAATTAGGGACGTCAAGAGCAGAAGCTCTCGAGTAGCTTGACGCGAAATTCAACAAACGGACGAACTATCACGTCTAAGCAAAATATTCATGTTTATTGTATGATAAGAGAAAACAATGAGAATCTCCTTTTGGTTACATTTTTCGGTTTAAAATAAATAAACTTTAAAATATTTATTCTTGGTACAGAGTGAGTGCATTTATTGGTAAAGAAGGAAAGAGCATACACGATTTGTTATTAAAACTTCTCTCACAAATTTTTAAATATTTATATAATTCTTATTTTGTTTTTACAATTAATGTCTTTTGTATTATCATATTTTTCACTCTTATGTTTTGAGACTTAGTACTAAATATTTTAAATGTGTTAATTATTGAACCCGAAAATTCAAAACAGTAAATGTTATAGCCAATTATTTTTCTATACTTTCAGCTAAACTTTAACATTAGAACAACACACGCGGTCAAATTGCGTGAGCATCACGTGATGTATGACGTTAACTGGGTTGGCAAGGGCTCGTGTCACTCATGCCAAGGCCGTTATTCTTCTACAAGTTTGCAGTACTGTTATTTCGAACTTCTCAACACTATTGAAAGTAGATAAGAAAAATAACATTAAATTAATTTATTTATTAGTTTTGACTAAACCATAAGTTGATTTTTTGTTTAGTACTCCTCTGAACGGATTTATTTTTTAAATCGTATTCAGAAACAGCAAGTCTTACCTGTCTTAATGCTTCGGAGGCAAATGAAATTCTCAATTGGAGTTGTATGAAATATTTGTAAGACTATATTATATATATATATTAATTTTCTACAGTACTATAAATTTGCTTTCACGAGATGGATGGGGATACTCTTTACATATTTCAGGATGAAAATTTGACATTACTGATGGAAGAAATCACCGAAAATGTGATTCCCTTTCTGGACAACAACAGCACAAATGGTAAATCTGTAGATTACAATACTTATATGGGTCCTAAAAGAAAGACTTTGTTTTTCGTGGTACCAATGACCCTGGTCTACGTTTCGATTTTGGTTACTGGAGCAGTGGGTAACATCTGCACTTGTGGTGTAATCGCCAAGAACAAGTATATGCACACAGCTACAAATTACTACCTCTTTAGCCTGGCTATTTCAGATCTTTTACTACTGGTCTTGGGACTTCCTCAGGAAATGTATCAACTTTGGGAAAACTATCCTTATATCTTTGGAGAGTTTTTTTGCTTCATACGTGGCCTAACGTCAGAGACTTCAACAAACGCTTCCATATTAACCATTACCGCCTTCACGGTGGAGCGATATCTAGCCATCTGCCATCCTCTTCGAGCCCATACAATGTCCAAACTGTCACGGGCAGTTAAATTCATCATTGTCATCTGGATTCTTGGAGCATTGGCAGCAATACCCATAGCTTTCCAATTTGGTATTGTAAATTTATACAATATCTCCGAATATGCCGTCTGCACAGTAAAAAAACCTTTAAAACACGCGTTTGGAATTTCATCTTTGCTGTTCTTTATCCTCCCCATGAGTGTGATTTTGATCCTTTATGTGTTAATCGCTCTTCAACTGCGAAGGTCCTTAGAACTGTCTCGTAGGGAAACAACTCACGGAGCAACCAACGGATTGAACCAGCAAAGTGTTCATGGTCATTCTTCTAGACAAACTGTAAAGTCGTCAACCAGCTACTCGTCTCGTAGGGCAGTCATCAAAATGCTAAGTAAGTAAAAAATTGTTTTTCGTACACTATCTTTTCAAGAGCAGTCCTTTAAATATCAGTTTAGAAGTGTTCTCGAGCATCTTCATCTTCTTAGACCGTCAACGAACTAATAAGCACACAAATTATTTCATCAACTATTTTTATTTTAAGAGAAAATAAAATGCTATGTGAGTTAAGTCTTCTATCAGCTACTTCTCGTGTAAGGCAGTCAATAAAATGTTAGGGGAGTTAAGTCTTCTATTAAATATTCCCCTTTCATGGTAGTCGATGAAATGGCCAAGCTTTTCATTAGTTACCATTCGTGTAAGGCAGCCGATAAAATGTCGAGAGAGTTAAGTCTTCAATTAGTTACTCTTCGTGTAAGGCAGTCGATGATATGTCAAACGAATTTATCTTTCATTAGCTACTCCTCTTTTAAGGCAACAATAAAATGTCAAGCGAGTTGAGCCTTTCATTAGCTATTTCCCTTTTAAAGCAATCAATAAAATGTCAAGCGAGTTGAGCCTTCCATTAGCTATTCCCCTTTTAAAGCAATCAATAAAATGTCAAGCGAGTTGAGCCTTCCATTAGCTATTCCCCTTTTAAGGCAACAATAAAATGTCAGCTGAGCTAAGCCTTTCATCAGTTACCTTTCGTATAAGGCAGTTGATAAAATGTCCAGCGAGTTAAGTCTTCCATTAGCTATACCTATTTTTAAGGCAGTAAATAAAATGTTAGGTGAGTTAAGCCGTCCATTAGTAACTCTTCATTTATGACAGTTGATAACATAAATAACCGAGTTGAGTCTTTCATTAGCTACTCTTCTTTTAAGATAGCCAATAAAATTTCAGATGAGTTAAGTCTCTTATATCTGATATATCAACCGGTAAAAAATAAAGAACAAAATTTATAAACGTTCATGTTTACCAACTAAGCTGCATTGTTACAAACTATTTATAATTCGAAAGATATTGAGCATTAGGATGTCGTGTATACCTATTTAAATATACGTTTATGTTTACTATTCTTGAAAACAACGTATAGTATTTATAAATTTACATTCACTATCATAAAATTTATTATCAAAAACATTACCCGAAAATAAAGCGAAGGCAATGTATTGTAATTTACTGTCACGAAACAGTGAGTTTTATTTTATTATTATATTTACATCTAATGACTTAACATCACGATAACTAAATAGTTTAGGACTTGAACGTGAACTACATACATGTTGCTAAAAAAGAAAAAGTGAACGTCAAGTAATAATATTAATCTGAGATATGCATGAAACATAGCTATATCTACTACCTTCTTAATTTACGAATTAACGATAAAGAAAAGAAGTGAGAAAAAAAAAGTTTTACGCTAGAAGCAAGCTTTGGAAGTAATTCAAAAAGCGGACGTATATCCAGACTAATTTTTACGATGGCACTGTTGAGTAATTTGTTGTACGAAACAATGTTTTTTAATTGCTTTAAAATGTCGCGACTTTCCAGAGTAAGTGGTAACAAAATAATTAAGGAATCAATATTTATTTTTGCGTTAATCATAACACGTGACTGATATTCTATTAGAGAATGTTATCATGTGGAAACTGATTTGCGAAAAATTAGTAATTTATGTCACTTCTTGCCATATAGGATAGTTAGCTGATTGGGGAAAACTATGGCCATTTTAAAGTACTTAATTAGAAACAATCTTGAAGTATGACATAATAGTTTCAGGAAGAAAGACCTAGACTGAACTTTCCGTTGTACTCTATACCCGGCAGCTATCTCCATTTAGTAGCATAGTTTGACACTTGTTTGTTTTTTAATTTCGCGCAAAGCTACACGAGGGCTATCTGCGCTAGCCGTCCCTAATTCAGCAGTGTAAGAGTAGAGGGAAGGCAGCTAGTCATCACCACCCACCGCCAACTCTTGAGCTACTCTTTTACCAACGAATAGTGGGATTGACCGTCACATTATAATGCCCCCACGGCTGAAAGGGTGAGCATGCTTGGTGTGAGAGGGATTCGAACCCGCGACCCTCAGATTGCGAGTCGAGTGCCTTACACTACAAGCGTATAGAGAAAACAAACAGTAGTATCACCTTCTGAATTATAATAGAATCACAATCGAGTTGGTTTTATAGTGCAATAACTTAATATATATATCTTTGCTGTTGGTTTTACAGTGCAATAACTTAATATATATATCTTTGCTGTTGGTTTTACAGTGCACTAACTTAACATATATATATCTTTGCTGTTGGTTTTACAGTGCACTAACTTAATATGTATATATCTTTGCTGTTGGTTTTACAGTGCACTAACTTAATATGTATATATCTTTGCTGTTGGTTTTATAGTGCACTAACTTAATATATATATCTTTGCTGTTGGTTTTACAGTGCACTAACTTAATATATATATCTTTGCTGTTGGTTTTACAGTGCACTATCTTAATATATATATATCTTTGCTGTTGGTTTTACAGTGCAATAACTGAATTCTCTGCACTTTGGGGCCGTTGTTGAACCGTACGAAACTGTCGAATTCTGCTGTTCATTCTAATAAGAGTAGCTCAAGAGTTAGTTGTGGGTGCTGCTGACCAGCTGCCTTACCTCTGTTGTTTGTTTCAGATTTTCGGGATATCTGCACAAAGCCGTCCCTAATTTTGAACTGACAGACTAGAGAGAAGGTAACTAGTCAACAGCAAACACTGCCATTTCTTGGGTTAGTTTTGTTTGAACGAAAACTGGAGTCTACCCTTCACTCATATAGCGCACTCACGACTCCAAAGCGCAAAACACGATCTTGAGGCAAAGGGAAGTTATTCATGAACCCTCGGATGCACAGTTTCTAATCGCTAGGCCACCCCTGCCTCCTCTTGTCTATCAGTTCACATTTAGAGATGGCTATGAGCCGATGGCCTTGTATAGCTTTACTCAAAAGTTCTAAAACAAACAAAGTTATTGCAGTTGAAGCGAAATAATATTTCATTCTAGCCACTGAAATGGTAATTTAAGTCTTCTAAATGGAATGAAATACTAAAAAAGTTTTGGAAAAGCTCATAATTCTGTTTTTAAACATTCTTATCGTGGGCACTATATTCTAAAGAAAAAAAGCTTTGACTTATATTCTGATTCCATGCTACCCGTGTTTGTGAATGGGGGTTCATACTTACAACGACCTTAATCCTCTGTTATCTAAGCTCAGCGTTTAGTAGTGATGAAAGGTTGACTGATTTTGCCAGTGGGCAATTAATGTCGTTGATATGGTGAAAATGTCTAACTTGAACTTAAACATCAAAAAGTAAAAATACTTTTTGGGTTGAGTCTTTCATCATTGTTTAGGTCTTCTAATCTCCATATCTTGTTCTCATTCAATTAAAATTACCCTAATTATGAGTTGGTTTTTTAATACCATGTACCTAACTTTTCAACATTTAAGCTATAATTTTTTTAGTTCAATTAATTAGCATTTTCTTAAGTCACCTGGATATCAAGAAATACCATCACAATGTTTTGTTTAAAAACAACTGTATTTTTGCTTATTCAGAATTTTACTTTCATGAGGCCTGGCTAAGTTCATGCACTCGACACGCAATCCGCGGGTTCGTAACCTGCAAACGAAGGTGCTCGCTCTTTTAGGGCTTGGAGCGTTATAACGTGACGGTCAATCCCACAATTCGTTGGTAAAAGAGTTGGCGATGGGTCTATGACTTCAAATTAAGGAAAGCAAGCGCAGATAGCCTCCATGTAGCTTTGCGCTAAATTCAACAAACAAATAATATTTTATTGCAGTACAAATAACATGATACTAAAATATGTATAACAATAGTAATATTTAAAATCAATACCGAATACCAATGAGTGTTTCAAACACGCTTGAAACAGTTGTAACTACAATATATTAACATACTTGTTGATTAATTAGTTTTGTTCATTTTAATGAAATTCCTTAAAGCTTTATTTTTATCTTCCAAACATTGTTTTCTTTGAGATGTAGAAAAAAAAATTAAGTGAAAAATCTACAACAAGATTTTTTTACTAAAAAAAAAAGAGTATGTCACATACGAGAAAAGAGAACTGCTACATAAATAAGGCCACAGTTACATTAACAGACATTGCCAGTCATTGAGCGCGAAATTGGGGCCTAGATTTAATTCTATGCTTCTGATATCAAGTACAGCAGATTGGAACACTTGGGTTGTAAAATAACCAAAGTTACAGAAACATGTCCATGATAAACTGATGCATCAGGAAGTTAAACTAGTTAACTCAAAACTATTTACAGTCATCTTCTTATTAAGCTAAAAGTAAAGTAAAAATAAAAGTTCTATTTACATCTTTAAATCTGTACCATATCTACTGGTTCTAATGTTCACAAGCCTCCTGGTGGTTCAGCGATAAGTCTGAGGGCTTATAAAGCTAACAGTCGGGTTTTGATACCTGCGGTGGACAGATCACAGATAGCCCACTGTGTAACTTTACGCTTAACAACAAACAAGAAACAGTTCATACAGGAATGACTGTATTCTAAAAGTTAGTTCTTAATTAAAATATTAAAAATATGATTATTTCCATATCATGTAAACCAAATCCTGCATGCCCAGTTTGCTGTCACTGTACGAACAGAATAATAAATAGAGGTACAGTACGAATACAGGATCAATACTGCTACTTCTATCGCTAACTAATAGTTTAATAAAAACATTAACAAAAACATAGATAAAACAACAATTATATTTGCAATCTCCTTTGACAGTAAAGCTGTAAATACTGGGGTTATTCGCGCTTTATTAGAACGATATTCAAATCCGGTCCCGTGCCACCCTTAGGACTTTTTTCTCCATCGCTAATCATGCTTAATCTGATGGCTACGATTACTCACTGTTGCCCAACATCGCAATTTATATTGTAACGAGTTTATGCAAAATACGGCGAAGTCAAGCCTAGACCATACATTTTGGGAAAATGTTCACAGTCTCTCTTCCAAGACCAAACTTAAGCAAGCTAAAGGCACAGAAATTCAG